TTTTCAGTTTCGGTATCTTATGGCCGCTACACCCGTGAAAATGCACCGATTGACCCCAAATTCACACAGATGAAAGATGACCTGAAGGGTAACATTTTCCAATAATATTATTGGTTAAGTCTGTGTGGTGTCTGAATAACAGCGCAAATAATTTTTTTTTCGTAAAAAAATTCATTTTTTTGAAAATTTTTGCCCGTTTGACCTTGAAATAAAGGTCAAAGGTCAAATCCAAGGGCATATTTGAAATCTACACATATGACTTTTGGAAAGCCGTCTGTAGAAATTTTTCCCATAATTCCTTCCGTAGGGTAGATATTTAGCATTTAATTTTGCCATTTTTGGACAAGGGTGCATTGCAATGAGTGCCACACCTAGACCCCAATACCGACAAAGCCCAAATTTTACGTGGAACGAGTTGAGATTATAGGTGACCTAAATCCAAGAGATGGGTATGGGGGCCCTTACCGTCTAGGAGGAGAAGCGGTAACGGTAACATGGCGGCGGAGCCGGCGGAGCCGCAGGAGCCGGCGGAACGGACCGGACGGGACTAAAACCATGTGTACCGCCAGCGCTAACGCTGGTGGTACAATTATAAAATGCTGTGAAAATACTGGTATAGCTGCCTGGTGGTCAGATAGGCATGTATCCCATACATCTCCCAGTCTCAGACTTCAACTGTATAACATGTCATTAAGATTCATTAACAAGGGGAGATGAACAAACAACACACAGACAATCTTGACAGGAAGCTGACGAAACCTGGTAAGGTAAACCGACTGAACGTGATCAAAGAGATCCCAGGTCAACAGGCTGCCAACAAGAAAGGCTTGTTGCCTTTGATGTTTTCTAAGGATTTCTTCACTATGCTCAAGTCAGAGTCGGTGCGTGATTTACTAGTGAATTACATTGTTTCATCAGCATAATTTTAAAATTCCTTACTTTAACTGTTTCTGAACTAGTCTCAATAATAACCATAACTAGTTCTTGACCAGTTTTCACCTTCAAAAATAAATGCCATTGAAATATTATTTTTTTTAAGTGTTTGTCAACAAATACTGCATGTATATCTCTTCTTCAAATTCTTTTAAGTAAAAAAAAAAAAAAAAAATCTGGCTCTAAAATAAATATTTTTTTCTTTTGCTATTTAAATAATCTACTATAAACACAAACACATGTATAAGCACACATGGATACACATATATACACAGACACGCATACATGCACATAAACACATGCACTATTCCACTGGGAATCTCATTTAGTGATATGAAAAATAATATCTGCCATGTGTATCTAAACACTTATCTAACTCAGTTATTAAGTTAGACAATTGGGTCAGTGTTAAAGAAGTTGAAGACAACAACTGAGAGCACATTCAGAACAGCAAACTATCAGATCAGAGATAAAATATGGCAACCTATTTAAAAGCTTACTGCTGAATTCCTGATTAGACACTAAAAAGAATCCCCTGCGGGGATTATGCAACAAGCATTCAAGTGGATCGGCCATATTTGATCCACAGATCTGTTTGTCTGCTGTTCTGAATGTCCTATTAAAGAAACAATAAAATATAATATACTCTTTTATCTTAAAACTCTTGATGCTTTTACTAAGAAATTTTGGAAACCTTTTTATTCATAACTAATTCCACAAAATGTAGCCTTTATCAATTTTAGAAGAAATGGAAAAAGTTAACACACGAGTCCAGTATTGATCTTTATATATCTCTCTTGAAATCATAATGCTAAGTTTGCAGTTTCATTATGAAATTGGAATAGAAAGTTTTTGACTGGGATTTCATTAAGTGTCTGTTTCAACACAAATCAATTTTTTCAATGGACAAATGCTGACAGCACTCTATTCAAAGAAGTGTTACAAATCATGACAAAGAATCTGACTTAAAATTGAAAATCTTAGAAAAATGATCTGAAATGACAAGAAAAAAAGCAAATAAAAAGCATTTTTCATTTCAGGTAAATGGTAAAGAAAGACTGATACAGTTATTGCAGATATATCCCTCCCCCCCCCACCGCCCTGCAAAACTGCACCATGCTTATCCACCTCTCCCCAACCCCCAAAAAAAAAAAAAAAAT